AAGAGCAGAGCCATCCGCTGCCCGGCAAAGTTTGTCGTCCTGGTGGCCCCCGTTGCTCTCCCTCCTGGGTTTGCTCGTCAGCGAAAGTGCTTGTTCTGCAACAAGAGCTTCTTCCACCGTCTGCTGGCTCTTCTTCAGCTGGTCCTTCAGCCTGCAATGCTGGATTTGTACCCTTGCTGCAAGTCCGCGAGCGGCAACGGTCACGTCAGCCCAGAGCCACCAAAAAGGAGGGTCGAGACTCCGCACAGCTCTGCCGTCCTTAAAAAACCTTGCAGATGGATTTAGGAAGGGCCACAAGCTACAGGATTCGTGTAGGACGGCTACACCACGACTCGGTCCAAGCCCAGATCTACTTCGCAGACATGCCAGCCTCTGAGCGGTGCCAAATGGAAGCAGGTTCTGACGGGACGCTCCGGTGTGGGGTCAGGTCTCCGCTGTGGTCGCCGTGACTGAATCACACCCTGCTGCGAGCGCTGATCCCTAGAAGAAACGTCTCTGCTTTCCACCGCGGATCTCGCTGTCCCACCGTCCGCTGGCAGACACTGATTGCACTTGAAGTTTTTAAGTGCTTGGGGAGAAAAAGGGTCACAGTAGAAATATTAGATATTACAGAAGATGTTGCAGCCAGCTCTTCTCGTTACAAGCTCTCTGCTGGCCGAGGCTCTTCCTCACGCTGGCACGTATCTCCAGGTGTGCTGGAGATTCAGAGCTGAGACCAAAGTGATCCAAGCACGCGGAATTCAGCAGCCCTCCCACTCGCATCACTTATCCATCCTTATTCCTACGATCTCCCAGCGTTTCTTTCAAAGGAGATGCGCCTTTGGGCTTGCTTGGAGGAACGGTCGGCTGTTGGCTCTACCTCATGGTGCTCGTATCGGTGAGGCAGAGCTTGGCGCGTGTAAAGCCTGAGCAGGTGATGCTCCTTAAAAAGAAACATCTAGTATATTTTAGTGAGGTGCGTCTACCACTGGGAAACTTGAACACAGCCTTCCCCTAAGCCACTTCTGCCTATGTTTTTTAACTCCTTTTCTACAGGTTTGGCTGTTCTGTAAACAGAGGTGACTTCTCAATTGCATTGAGAGTTGGTTGCTCCGTTGTAGGATCCCAGACGCTGCCAGTACTTGGATCGTATACCTTGTCTCGCTATCTATCACTAGGATTTAAGCAGAGGCATCCACTAACACAAGATGCTGCTTGTTGTCGTGGTCTTTTTCCTCTATCTCGCTGATGAATACTAACCTTGTGCCTGGTCTTCACTGTTGTCCAGCCACCGCCATCTGGGCGGCAGTCCCCAACTAAGAACACAGCGAATGGAAGTCCTTCCAAATGCCCGCGATTTGTCAAAATCAAGAACTGGGAGACAGGCTCCGTGCTTCACGACACCCTGCACCTCAAGACGGCGATGGTGAGTAGAGTTGATAGGACCGGCCAAAAGTTGTCTGAGCGTAACTGAGTGGATCCCAGTGTTTCCAAGATGACTTTACCTGGAAATGCAGAACTAGATGAGTTCAGGCTAGTCTTCTTGCCTCCGGGAGTGTCTGAATTTCAAACCTCTGGTGCAATAAGCTGGGTGAGAGGGAAGCCCATCTGGGATAAATCAGGAAAAGTTTTATGACTTTCTGGCTAGCTGGGGTAAGAACCTAGTGAGCCTCGATTGTCCATACCAGGTGGGACAAGAGATGACTGCATATGCTTGAGCTGTCTTACACAACGTTACCAAAACAAATAGTTTTATACAGGTAAAACACAACAGTGAAAACAAAGCAGCTGGAAGTGTCCCTGGGTGTTAAAGATGCCACCAACCTCTGCTTGGCTAACTGTGGACTTCCCCCAGCCCAGCTCATGTAGCCAAAAGTGCTGCAGCAGCCCAAGACACGCTTGTCTCCTGTCTCACCAGGCCACCGCGTGCACCGAGCAGATCTGCATGGGCTCAGTAATGACCCCTAGCCAGCACGTCCGCAAGTCAGAGGATACCAGGACAAAAGAGGAGGTGCTCCTCTTGGCTAAGGACTTCATTGACCAGTACTACTCCTCCATAAAGAGGTAAGTTTTGGCTGGCCAAGGTCGCAGGCCCTGGCTGCTGCTTACGCTGAGGTGTCACGTATGATCTGATCTTTCACACTCGCGAGCCAACGCAGGGTGAGACCGTGGTGCTCCACGTTCAGCTGCTTCTTCGGGGGAGCTTCATTCCTAGTGTTTGTTGGGTGCCTCTGCGGAACTGCTGACCTCTCCCGTTGGCACTTGGTCGTCTACCTGAAAGCACACACGTGTGCGTGTATATGTGCACGTGTGCTTAAGAAGGAAAGAGCTAAGGTGGAGAGCAGCAGGATTCCCTGCCCACCACCCGGTGGAGGTGACTGCCGGAGGTGATGGAGGTGATTGGTGACTGCCGTCTCCTCCGTTCCCCGCACATGCAGATCTGGCTCCAAGGCCCACATGGAACGGCTGGAGGAAGTGACCAAGGAGATTGAAGCCACTGATACCTACCAGCTGCGGGACACAGAGCTGATCTATGGAGCCAAGCATGCCTGGAGAAATGCAGCGCGCTGTGTGGGCAGGATTCAGTGGTCCAAGCTGCAGGTGAGCACCGGCACAGCTGAAAAGAGCTGGCAGGTGACCTGCCAAAGGGTGCACCGGAGTTTTGGAGAGGCAAAAGTTGCTCTTCAAACACCTGGGGAAGCACAAGACGGGTACAGTTGCGGGTGTTCAGCACACGGCAGCTATGCTCTCCTCGACAGCTTTAGGGGTGCATAGGCTGGGCAGACAGCAGGAGCTGGAAGAGCATCTGTGGGGGTTAGATGTAGTTGAGGTGTCTGCGTCTGAAACGGGGCCAGCTGGAAGCCGGCGCTCCAGAGAACATTTTCCAAAATCAGATGCTGCTCCAGTATCTTACATGCTGCTTCCAAAACTATTGCTCTGCCTGGGGAGAGGCAGCAGGACACGCTCATCCTTGGTACAGAGATGCTATGGCAGGAGAAGATTTGGCTCAGTGCCCTTTTGCCTAGCTGGAAGCGTAGGGTAGGATCCGAACCAGTGATCTCCAGTGCAACCCCTCGGTGCAGGGATGACATGGAGGCTGGGCCTCCTTCGCTCCCAGCTCAGCCTTCCGCTCTCCTCTTCCACGGTGTCTTTTGGCATATCTGAGCCTTGCGGGGAGACATTTCTGCAAGAAGTCGTCTTCAAGTCTCCTGTTGACCCTCTTTCCTGGTTTCCCCCTCCTTTGGTCGATGCCCCGTCCCTGGGAACACCCCAGGTCAGGCTGGGCGGGGCTCTGAGCACCCTGATCTGGTTGAAGATGTCCCTGCTCACTGCAGGGGGGTTGGACTAGGTGGCCTTGAAAGGTCCCTTCCCACCCAAGCCATTCTGTGCTGCTTTGATTCCCCACCCTCTCAGTGGATCCCAGGCCTGACTGACACCCACCCTATTTCAGCTTTGAGTCTTGATCTACAAGAGGCAAAGAGCAGAAACCAAAACTGTTGGTGGATAAGCCAGGAACAGCAGCAGGTTGAGAGCACTAGACTGAGGGGGATTTTGCCTGAGCAGCAGATGACTCACCTCTCCAGAGCAGAAGGGGCAGCTGGATTAGACATCCACGTGTTGTAAAGGCAGGGAACACATAATTATGGAGCTTTAGATACCTAACGAGCCATGGTGGCCTCTAGGGCTTTCCCTGTGCTATGTTTCTTCTGTTTGCCTCTGCCCTAGGAGTTGGAGCATCCTTTAGCATCACCACAATTGCTTCCACTGTTTCAGGTGTTTGATGCCCGGGACTGCACCACCGCCCACGGCATGTTCAATTATATCTGCAACCACATCAAATACGCCACCAACAAAGGGAACCTCAGGTGAGCCACCAGGGAGTCACCAGGGTTTATATCCGACGGCCTCTGGATGCGTGTCAACCCCGCTCTGGGCCCTGCTGACATGGTCTCCTTTAGCCGCGCAACAGGATGGTTGTAGCCAGCACCTGCCCTGGGGAGCGTTAGAGGGACCTGATCTCAGGGGAAGGTGTCCTGCTGGTCCAAGCATATCTCTTCTTGCTCTCTGTGGGACCTCAAAGATTTTCCAATTATTTCTCCTTTCCTGCACTCTGCATCAAATGCAGAGCACGGACTGCTCTCCAGATCTGTCTGAAACCCCACGTGAGCAGCCAGCTGCTGCCTGGAGCTGAATTGCTGGAAACACCCCAAATTCTGGAGCTGGGGTGCAGCTGCCCACAATTTCTTCCGGTGAAGGAAGTGTAATAAATGCCTGGGGTTTGTGCGGGGCACAAGCAGAGGTGGTGCCCAGGGTGGTGGCGGGCAGGGGCAGCACCTTTCCCCCACGACACTCGGCTCTTCCTCCGATGGCCCGTGTCCTGTCCCCTTGCAACTCCCCCGGCGTTCACCGGCTGCCTCTTCCTTCCAGGTCTGCTATTACCATCTTCCCGCAGCGGACGGACAGCAAGCATGACTTCCGCATCTGGAACGCCCAGCTCATCCGCTACGCTGGCTACAAGCAGCCCGACGGCACTGTCCTGGGGGACCCCGCAAACGTGGAGCTGACAGAGGTACCGGCGGAAGCCAACCGTCCTGGGCACCACGAGCATGGGGCTGGTGGGGGCAAGCAGAAGCTCTGACCATCCCAAGAGCGAGGAGGGTGCTGGGTCAGGCAGGGTTTATCGCATCCGCTGCAGTGCCGCCAAGCGAAGCTGGTGCTCTGCTCAGCCCTCCCCGAACTCCTCTGCTTTTCTCACCCAATTTCTCCCTCAGCATCACGGGCACAAATAGGGTAAGCAGCTTTTTCAGAGCCGTGATGCTGCCTGGGGATCTAGTTCTAGGCTCATCTTCAGCCCAAATCCCCCTTACGTGGCCACGGGTTGCCTGTGACAGGCAACCCCATGTCGTGTCTCCCTTGGATGGAGGTTGTTACTCACCCGCAAGGGCTTGAGTAGAGGTGCTGTTAGGAGACCCTGCTCAGTGCCATGCAACCCCCTGCCCATAAAGCCTGAAAAGCAGGTGATCTGCTGGGACTTCTAAACCCGCCTTTGTTTGGCCTGTAGATCTGCATTCAGCAAGGGTGGAAGGCACCGCATGGGCGCTTCGATATCCTGCCTCTGCTCCTCCAAGCCAATGGCAACGATCCAGAGCTCTTTGAAATCCCCCCGGAGCTTGTGCTGGAAGTGCCCATCCGGCACCCCAAGTAAGTCAGAGTAAGACCTGGAACTGCTCGAGGGGATCAGCAGGACTCAGCTCCTCTGGTTTCACCCTAAGCCACCCCATGTGCTTGGCCTTCCCTTGTCGTGGCTTGGGTGCTTTACCCAAGACCCTCTTCCAGCTCTTCCCTCCCCTCTGATGTAAAGCTGGCAGAACCTGGAGGTGGAAAGCAAGTTGTGTCCTCGCCTCAGGGCTGGTTTCCCTTTCCTTGAATCCTCCCAGGACTTACGCCACTCCTGATATATCGCTGTCTCCCCGAAAGCAGCCCCTAAGGGAGACATTGCCTCCGGGAACCCTTCTGCTCACACGTCCTTCAGCCTGGTGGCTGACAACAAAGCAACCTCCTCCGCTCCCCTGCCTGCGTTGGGCAGGGCAGGTCTAGCTGATTGCCCGACCCTGTTGTCTCCCGGCAGGTTCGGCTGGTTTAAGGACCTGGGCCTGAAGTGGTATGGTTTGCCAGCAGTTTCCAACATGCTCCTGGAGATTGGCGGCTTGGAGTTTTCCGCCTGCCCCTTCAGCGGCTGGTACATGGGCACGGAGATTGGGGTCCGGGACTATTGTGACAACTCTCGCTACAACATACTGGAGGTAATTCCCCCTCCTCGAGGAGGCCAGGTGCTCCTGGGGTGCAGTGGGTGCGTGTGAAGTTACCGGGGAGCAGGACAGGGCGCTGGAAGGGTGTTGCCTTGGGTGGGAGAGTACAGGAGATCCAAGTCTCCCTTAGAACGAGCAGTTATGTTCTCCTGGAGCCACATGGTCAAGGGCGTGATGGGCTGGCAAGTTTTTTTGTGTCCTGTGGATCCAGCTGGTACTTAACCCAGCAAGTCTGATGCCTGTTAAGCAACCCCTAAACTTCTCAAAGCATCTTATGGGTCAGCAGACGCCTGACCTGAGAAAGAGCAGTTTGGGAGCAGCAGTGGGTCTGGCACGGGAAGGAGCGCAGGGGTCTGCTCCTCCCAGCACATGGATCACCACCATCCCCTGCTGTCCCACGGACCCACCCTTCTCCTCCCCTCCCACAAAGGGCAACTGCTCTTGACGGCCCTTTCCAGCAGCATTTAGTCAGCTTCCTGTGCCCCGGGGGAGGAAGGGAGGCCAGGCTGGCCTTGCTTCTGTCCTGGAGAGGAAAAGGCAGGACCACATCTTCTCAGAGGAAGGCAAAACGTCAGCCCTTCGTCGCAAGCGTGCTGCCCTGCCCTGCGGCTGCCTTGTGCCAGCCTGGGTCACTCCGCTGGGTTCCTCTCCCCAAGCAGAGATCTTCAGCCCTCGGTTCTTGGCCATTAAAAGCGTTCACCCTCTCCCGTGCTTTGTTACAGCAAGTGGCCAAGAAAATGAATCTGGATATGAGGAAAACCTCCTCGCTGTGGAAGGACCAGGCCCTGGTGGAGATCAACATTGCTGTGCTGTACAGCTTCCAGGTACCTGAGTAGCATGACTCTGTGGTGTTTGGGTCAGGCTTGAGGGACACAAGTATTGGATGGGACAAGGGTGGAGACGTCTGCCCAAGGACAATGGCAGCAGCCGATAGACTCAGCTGAAATTGGGCTATGCCTTCCTAGTTTTGGGCTGTTTCAGGAGCCTGCAGTGAAATTTAATAATCTCTGTGCCCAGGATGTTGCAAAGACAGCACTACCAGCATCTGAGCTCTGCCAGCCCAGAGGGAGTGCCCCGAGGGGGCAAGATCCAGCCCTTCTGTGCCCTCCACGAGGCAAGAATTGGCCCAGGTTCTCCTTCCGCTTGCATTTAAAGGTTGAGTAGCAAAACTAGTCCTTGGCAACCCAGCTTCAGAGGGTGGTAGTCCTTCCCTGAGCTGGATCAGAGCTGCTCCTTGAGTTGTGCAAGCCATGAAAGAGTTCCTCAAGAGGTTGAGCAGAGGATGCTCCATCCCGTTCATGCCACCTTAGTCTTTGCTTGGCCCAAGCAGGGCCAACAGAGGGAACAGCCATCCCATAGCGCAGCTACTCAGGAAGGTCAAGGGCAGCTTCACAGCCTCCTTGGGAAGAACAGGGTCAGCAGCCATGCTGTGTCATCTCCAAAGGTACAGTCCTGTAAGACCATGGGAGTGAGGCATATTCGGGTCAAACAGCTCCAAATGTAAAATCTTGGCTTTTGCCTTCTGGCGTGTGTGAACCCACAGCTGTTGGCTCTGCTCTCTTCGCCCTCCAACAGAGCGACAAAGTGACTATTGTGGATCACCACTCAGCCACTGAGTCCTTTATCAAGCACATGGAGAATGAGTACCGATGCCGTGGAGGCTGTCCTGCCGACTGGGTGTGGATTGTCCCACCAATGTCTGGCAGCATCACCCCAGTTTTCCATCAAGAAATGCTCAACTACCGTCTCACACCCTCCTTTGAGTACCAGGTACTGTCCGCACCCTACCTTCCACCGGTCTTGCCTGCCCAACATATGGCCAAGAGCAGGGTGGGAGCTGGAGCTCGGGGAGGGACACCGTCTACTCCCTTCAACAAGCCGCCCCTGTGGAGGCACTGAGGTTCATGAACAAATCTAATTGATGGTTCCCCCTCATGTGGTGTAATAAACCCCTGGATGGTACACCCTTCCCCCGGGGAATGGCTTTTTGCCCCTCCCTGGGAACACGGGACACCTGAGGCCCCAGCTTTTACCCTTGGAAGCGGAACTAAGCAGAGCTCCTCCCTTTGGAAGTGCCTCATTTTGCACTTTGGTGGGCAGGTGGGGAAACGGCCAGGCGGTCGCCACATCCCTCCGCTCTCCAGCCTGCAGGTTTGAATGGACGGCTCCTGCCAGCTCGGGGGTCCAACAGCTTGAGTATTTAACACTTCAGACCATGGGGAAAAAGGCCCCTAAGCAAACATGCCCTCATTAGCCAACCATCCCTGCTCCGGTGGTTTTCACACAATGTGACCTTTAGTCAAGAGCCCTTAAGGAACAATCGCAGCACAGGAGCAGTCTGTTCATTCCTACAACCAGTCCACCAGGAACCCCGACGGTTCCTGGCCCCGATTACAGACAGCCGCCTGCGAGGGCACTGAATTAGCTTCTGTGCGCTCGTTCCTTGCTCCAGCTGCCTCCCCTTCCCAAGGGGCCTCTCAGGAGAGAAAAAAACCCACAAACCATGGGCTGGGAGGGGGAAGGATGTGTTTCCATCACCTCTTCCCTTCTGGCGTTGGCTGCCTTCTTTTTGCCTGTGGCCTATTAACGCTCATCTCAGAGGTGAGGAGGCGTTTGGCCAGATGCCGTTACAAGCCAGCAGAGTTTTATTACATTGCAATTTCTCTGTGCGCACTTCATTGCCCAACGGCCCCAAGAAACCCACGGGGCTCCAAGGATCAGGGACCTATACGGGAGATCAAGAGCTGTGAAGAGGCCAGCTAGTCCTCCCCTTCCTGACCAGCGGAATTCGGCGCTCAGTGCTGCGGATACGTTTCTCAAAGCTCTGAGCACTGCTGCTGCTCTTCTCTCTCCTAGCCGGACCCGTGGAACACCCACGTCTGGAAAGGGGTCAATGGGACACCTACCAAGAAGAGGGCCATTGGCTTTAAGAAGTTAGCAAAGTAAGTACCCGTGGGGTCTGAAAAGCCCTGGAGGGCTTGGGGGTGGTCCCGGTTTTGGGCAGCTCTGTTGTGTTCGATAGCGCTGCCCTACGGAAGCGTGCAAACTGATGGGGTGTGAGCCTGGATCTCAGGCCACTGGAGGCTTTAAGCTGCCAGGAGGGACGTTCGGAGGAACAGGCAGTCCTTTGAACACCCCGTCAGACCACCAAAAGGTGTGTGACCAGCTGAATACCAGATGTTGCATATAGTCTCTTCTCCCAAGCTGGTTCGTTCTCCAGTAAGGTGGTCTTCAATGCTCAGGAACGGCTTGCTCCCTGCTTGGGGGTATATTGCCTCTTTCTCCTTTCACAGCCTCCTGGGGCAGAGACATCACCCATCGCTGTTCAGGGCCATGCCGGCACAAGCGAGACAAAACTTGTGTCCGTATTTCTCTTTCTCTCACTGACTTCTTAGCTACCTGAGGAGCACTTCTCTCCGGTGCATGTCTCAACCTCCCAACACCCACTTCGGAAGGAGGGGGGGAGATAGGAAGGAGGAATCTCCCTGCAAGTAGCAGATGGGTCGGGGCCAAGCTGAGATTTGCTCTTCATGGCCAGCTGACCCCTAGTGATGGGCCGCGTGAGTCCCGCTCCCCTGCCAAAGCTCCTAGTCAGCGGGGGTGCAGGGATGAAGTGTAATTTGGACCCTTTAGGCGATCCTGGCCTGAATGCCTCCCCCACGGGCCACCGGCGGAGAGGTTCTGGTAGGAGCTGCTTGCTCCGCGGCAGCAGAGCTCTGGACCAAGACTGGGGAGGGCTGGGTCTGCGGCCAGGCCACCGGGTGACCTTGTGCTCTTCACGGCATCTCCCCACGCTTCAGTTTCACCGGGTCCCTACGGTCAGTTCATTCCCACGCTTCAGCTGTCACCTTCCCTAAGCTGTTTTCCACGGCGCATCCATAAACGTGACCAGCAGCTGAGGAACGTGCTCCCTCGGCTGCCGCTGATGCCTGGGCCTGGGCTGCAGCCC